TAAAAAAAATTTTTTTAAATCACTAAAAGGTATGTGGAATCTAAAATATGACACAAATGAACTTATCTATAAAACAGAAACAGACTTACAGACATAGAGAACAGACCTGTGGTTGTCAAGGGCAGGGGGAGGCATGGATTGGGAGTTTGGGATTATTAGATACAACTATTATAGTATATAGAATGGATAAACAACAAGGTCCTGCTGTATAGCACAGAGAACTATATTCAATATCCTGTGATAAACTATAAAGGAAAACAATATGAAAGGAATTATATATATGTCTTACTGAATCACTTTGCTGTACAGCAGAAATTAACACATTGTAAATCAACTATACTTCAATAAAATAAATTTTAAAAAATAAACAAAAATCACTAAAAGGGACATAAATGAAGACCTAAAATTGGTGAAATGTTTATGGATGGGATAACTAAGCATTAAGATAACTATCCTCTCTAAATATGTAAATTTAATGTAACTCCCAGGATTTTTTGAAGAATTAAACTAATGTATTCTAAAACATATATTGAACAATAAAGGTGCATAAATACCCAAGACAATTTTGAAAAACAAAAGCAGAGGGGAGTCCTTATCAAATATTATGACATACTACAAACTAATAAAAATAATGTGTTTCTGAAGCAGAAGCAGACACTAATGGGACACTACAGAAACAGACCCACTGATATATAAGTTGAGAAAGAACGGATTATTAATAAATGCTGGGAAAACTGACTCACTATAAGAATAATAACTAAGGTGGCTCCCTACCTTAAATCAAATAAAGGTAAATTCCATATAGCTGAAATACCTAAAACTAAGCTATAAGGCAAGTAGAAGAAAATGTAGAAAAATGTCTTTAGGAACATCTGGTAGAAATGGATGTCTAAAATGAGATTCAAAATACACAAACCATAAGGTGAAAAACTTAAGAACTAAAAGAATTTGTACAACAAAGTACAGCATAAACAAAGTTAATGGATGGGAGCTTCCCTGGTGGCGCAGTGGTTGAGAGTCCACCTGCCGATGCAGGGGGCACGGGTTCGTGCCCCGGTCCGGGAAGATCCCACATGCCGCGGAGTGACTAGGCCCGTGAGCCATGGACACTGAGCCTGCGCGTCCGGAGCCTGTTGCTCCGCAACGGGAGAGGCCACAACAGTGAAAGGCCCGCGTACCGCAAAAAAAAAAAAAAGTTAATGGATGACAGACTTGGGAAAAGATATTTGAAGAGTCAAAAATAGACAAGGGACCAACAACTAGGATACACAAGGAGCTCTTCCAAAAACAAAAACAAAAAACAACGGCAGAAATCCAATGGAAAATGGGATGAAGATTATAAATAAACAATTCACAAAAGTAGAAACTCAACTGGCTAACAAGTATATGAAGAGAAGCTCAACCTCAATTAGTAAAGAGAAGTATAAATTAAAACAACCCCCAAAATATAAAATACCCCTTTATAGCCATCACATTGGCAGGTACTTTAAAATATTAGATAATACCAATTGCTGGTGAGGATATGGAGGAAACAGGAATTCTTGTGTACTGTCAGAGGTAGGGCAAATTGTTACAGTTATTCTGGGGAGCAATTTGGCAGTATTTAGTGAAACTAAGTATATGTGTATACCCTATAATCTAGCAGTCCACTCCTGAAAATACTTCCCAGAGAAACCCTTGCATATGTCCAAGAGGATTAATGAGGACATTCATCATATAAACAGAAGGACGTGAGAAGCAACCAATGAGCTCATCAGTAGGAGAAGGGTCTGTAAACATGGTAGATCCATACCACGGATTATGCTGCAATTAAAAGAAATCAATTACACATAAATACAGCTACATGAATAGATGTATAAAATCAGCAATGAAAATTAATAATGAGACCTATAATAACAGTACTATCATGTAATTAAAAAGCACAAATTTTTTTAAACATTGTTTCACAGCAAATTAATGCAGTTTATACTCAACTGCATCTTTTTTTAAAAAATTTTTATTGGAGTATAGCTAATTTACAATGTTGTATTAGTTTCAGGTGTACAGCAAAGTGAATCAGTCACACATATACATACAACCACTCTTTGTTTTAGATTCTTTTCCCATGTCATTACAGAGTATTGAGTAGAGTTCCCTGTGCTATACAGCAGGTTCTTATTAGTTATCTATTTCATATATGGTAGTGTGTATATGTCAGTCCCAATCTCCCAATTTATCCCTCCCCCACCACCTTATCCCCTGGTAACCATAAGTTTGTTTTCTACATTCATGACGCTACTTCTGTTTTGTACATAAGTTCATTTGTACCTTCTTTTTTTTTTTAGATTCCACATATAAGCAATATCATATGTTTGTCTTTCTGTGTCTTACTTCACACAGTATGACAATCTCTAGGTCCATCCATGTTGCTACAAATGGCATTATTTTGTTCTTTTTTATGGCTGAGTTATATTCCATTGTATATATGTAACACATCTTCTTTACCCATTCCTCTGTTGATGGACATTTAGGTTGCTTCCATGTCCTGGCTATTGTAAATAGTGCTGCAATGGAACACTGGGGTGCATGTATATTTTTGAATTATGGTTTTCTCTGGGTATATGCCCAGGAGTGAGATTACTGGGTCATATGGTAGTTCTTTTTTTCTTTTTACTTTTTTTTTTTTTAAATATGTTGGGGGTAGGAGTTTATTAATTAATTTATTTTTGCTGTGTTGGGTCTTTGTTTCTGTGCGAAGGCTTTCTCTAGTTGTGGCAAGCGGGGGCCGCTCTTCATCGCGGTGCGCGGGCCTCTTACTATTGCGGCCTCTCTTGTTGTGGCTCACAGGCTCCAGATGCGCAGGCTCAGTAGCTGTAGCGCACGGGCTTAGTTGCTCCGTGGCATGTGGGATCCTTCCAGACCAGGGCTCGAACCCATGTCCCCTGCATTAGCAGGCAGATTCTCAACCACTGCGCCACCAGCGAAGCCCAACAACTTTTTTTTTTTTAACTTTATTTATTTTATTTATTTTTGGCTGTGTTGGGTCTTCATTGCTGCACATGGGCTTTATCTAGTTGCAGCGAGCGGGGACTACTCTTCGTTGTGGTGCACAGCTTCTTACTGTGGTGGCCTCTCTTGTTGTGGAGCATGGGCTCTAGGTGCACGGGCTTCAGTAGTTGCAGCACGCAGGATCAGTAATTGTGGCTCGTGGGCTCCAGAGCACAGGCTCAGTAGTTGTGGCACACAGGCTTAGTTGCTCCAGGGTATGTGGGATCTTCCCGGACCAGGGATCAAACCCGTGTCCCCTGCATTGGCAGGCGGATTCTCAACCACTGTGCCACCAGGGAAGCCCCGCTATCGTAGTTCTATTTTTAGTTTTTTAAGAAACCTCCATACTGTTCTCCATAGTGGTTGTACCAATTTACATTCCCACCAACAGTGTAGGAGGGTTCCCTTTTCTCCACACCCTCTCCAGCATTTGTTGTTTGTAGATTTTTTTTTTTTTTGTGGTACGTGGGCCTCTCACCGCTGTTGTCTCTCCCGTTGTGGAGCACAGCCTCCAGACGCACAGCCTCAGTGGCCATGGCTCACGGGCCTAGCCGCTCTGCGGCATGTGGGATCCTCCCGGACTGGGGCACGAACCCGTGTCCCCTGCATCGGCAGGCGGACTCCAAACCACTGAGCCACCAGGAAAGCCCTGTTTGTAGATTTTTTGATGATGGCCATTCTGACCAGTGTGAGGTGATACCTCATTGTAGTTTTGATTTGCATTTCTCTAATAATTAGTGATGTTGAGTACCTTTTCATGTGCTTAAAAAGCACAAGTTTTAAAAGCACGCGTTATATAAGTCAGACAGAGAAAGACAAATACTGTGTTATCACTTATATGTGGAATCTAAAAAATAAATGAATTAATACAACAAAACCGGAACAGACTCACAGATAGAGAACAAACTAGTGGTTACCAGTGAGGAGAGGGGAGGGCAAGGGGCAAGATAGGGGTAGAGGTTTTAGAGATACAAAATACTGTGCATAAAATAAATAAGCAATAAGGATATATTATGCAGCAATTATTTTATAATAACTTTAAATGGAGTATAATCTATAAAAATATTGAATCAATATGTTGTACCCCTGAAAGTAATATAATAGTAAATCAACTATATTTCAATAAATAAATAAAAAATAAATGAAAAATGATAATAGCAGACAAATAAAAATAATTAAAAGCACATGTACAAAGCAACACTGTACAATTTATAAAGACATATACATATTTAAGAAGATATACATCAGTGAGTGCCAGAGGGTTTGTGGGGTAGGAAGGGAGAAGGGGGAATCACTATGAAGGGGAAAAGAAGTAAAATAAGTAAAGTAAAATAAGAGAGGCCTTGAACAGCCCATCGATGACATTATCCTGATAACTGATTAGAAATTTTGAGTAATTCAACTCCCTGTTGTTTAGGTCCCCTTAAAAAAGCTCACTCTTCGGGCTTCCCTGGTGGCGCAGTGGTTGAGAGTCCGCCTGCCGATGCAGGGGACATGGGTTCGTGCCCCGGTCCGGGAAGATCCCACATGCCGCGGAGCAGCTGGGCCCGTGAGCCGTGGCTGCTGAGCCTGCGCGTCCGGAGCCTCTGCTCCGCAATGGGAGAGGCCACAACAGTGAGAGGCCCGCGTAACGCAAGAAAAAAAAAAAAGCTCACTCTTTTTATGAACCAAGTTACAATAATATAAATTAACCTACAAATAATGGAAGTGCGCAGTCAGCCTTCTACTGATAACTTTAACCTGCCCTAGTTATGTCTCAAGAGAAACTTGATGTTAATACAGATTTCACAGCTTCTCAACATCCATATACCTGGAAAGATAAAAGAATTTGTATATCCTTCCATGTGAGTCCTTGTGATTCATTCATGTTGTAGTTTAAGTTTCCTTTCAATCAATCCAAGAAGGAGCAGTATGACCAAGCAAAGCAGGTTCCAAAGGCAGGAAGCAGAAGCAATATGATGCTATGCAAGTACCTTTCTGAACAGTCCCTTCTGCTGTTGTAGGGCTTTGGGGCAACCCTTCAATGTAGGTGGTTGGCAATAAGTCTGCTGAGAGAGGCTGACCTTGGAGCTTTTGCAGTCTCTCTTGTACAGCACTGGTCAGGTCTACATAAGCCTCATCAATGCTGGCACGTTCAATCACAGCAAAACGAGACATTACCTCCATCACTTCCACACTGGCTTCCCGGTACCTAAGAGCGTGAGAGCACAATATACTCACACACATACAGAGCAAGGAAAGGATGCTCTATTGCAGTAGTTGGTGTTCTTTCACAGACTCTTAAGTATAATCACTCCAAGGTATTTTTAAGAATATTTGATAAACTAAGTATATATATGTTTTTGCAAATCATATTTTTATTTTTATAACCTGGCATCTCAGGTTAATTATTAAAATAATAATTTAAAATTACCAGGTCTTTATTAATAACTCTCTGGTCTACAAACTTATTCCTAAATTTTCTAAAACTGCCTTTGTTCATTATTTGATGAAGATTTTAAGAGTAAAATAAATGATCCAGTTTTAAGTTGGTGGCATGTGGCTTTTCAAAATCACACTCTGAAGTCAACTGTATTTCTGGGAAGTTACACTGTCTTTCCCAGCATAAAATTCTATTCAATGCAACGTAGCATATGTCCATTAGCTGAATTAATTCTACTTTAGGGTTACAGTATTAATCTTCAGTCAAATCTATCTTCTTTTCTGGCAATAATCCCAATGTGAGGTTGGCTATGACACTCCACCTTTAGACTTCTAATTGATAGGCGAATTCAGGGGTATCTCAAGTCCCAAGTCAAAGCATGATCCCTACACACACCACCCCACACAGTATAGTGTACTGTGAGAACGTGGAGATCTGAAAATGAATCCTCAGTCTTCCACTTCCTAACTGTGCGAACTTAAATTATTTAACCTCTCTAAATTGGTCCCTCATTTGTGTGTGCGTGGGGGTGCGGGGGATAATACTAGAACCTTCCTTATAACAATGTGAGATTTAAGAGACACTGCCAATGAAGAATTTAACACAGTGCCTGGCATATGACATATGTTCACTATACACTAGCTATTAGGATTATTATAATGACTGGGGCTTGTATCTACCTCTAACTTGGCTATGCCTATACTAATGCCTCCCATTCCAAGGCTAACTTTCTAAAATCTGGGCAGAGATAGCTCAGTTCAAAAACAGAGAAATTAAGCTTCTTTGGGACTGTTCAATTCTGGCAAATAATTCTAGATATTGCACTAGAATGTGAGTTTGACTCAGCCTTCTCTGGAAAAACTCTTATTAGTTTCACAGTCAATTTAATTACTTCAAACGTTTCAGACTTTTGGCCTGAGAACATGGGAAGTGGAATTAAGTTTTAATTATAACAACCAATTGTTAAATAATTAAGGAACTGAAAGGGTATTAAGGGTGGCAATTATTATAGGTAATAATGATTCTGAACTGTTCCTAAAACGCAGTATTAAAATCTGTTTTCATTCCACACTGAAAATTTAGCTGACTAAAGGGAACTTTTTCAGATGTTATTTACATAAAATGAATTAGAAACATGAGTTCCTAGCCTCATGAAATGCTTCCAACTCTTCCATTCCCCTTAAACAAGCTTTTCTTCTTACTTGGTGAGGTTAGATTTTCCATGGGACTCACGAACTTGTGCCAGTAGAAGATCTGGACATAACTTCTTAGCATCATCTGCCCACATGTTTCTAGTGACCCCAAATGCACGAGCTTCATAACTTACTGCAATGATTCTAAGGTTAGGAAAAAAAGGGGAACAGAAAAATATTACATGATCACAAGCAAAAATAATTAAAATTTAACATGATGAATAGGTTATAAACATAATAGTATAAACTTTTTGGTCACTGATGCTACTATTCATTCTCAAATATAGCAGTTCAGAACCCCCCAAAACAGGACCTAGCATAGTGCCATGTATTTTTTTTTTTTGCCATGTATTCTTATAGATTAAAACAGTAGTTGAGAGTTACAACAATAACTATGATACATACCCACCACCCTTCCATGATTTGTACTGTACAACTGCACAAGGTTTATTCCTCAAATGAGGATTTTGCCGCTGTTCCACTTGAACAAAAAAACAGTCCATGTCCACTAGAGTAATTACCCGGTCTTGTCCATTAGCCATTTTTCTGTAAGACAATATTTTATGGACAGTTAGAAAGGATATTGAATAAAAAGTGCCAAAGAAAATTATACTTCCATTCTTCCATTGTTGAATTACCATAAGCATGGGAACATGGAAACTAACAATAATGAAACAGGCATTTTCATATACTGCTGGCAGGAAAATAATAAACTGACACAACTTTAGAAAGGTAATAAATATTGAAAGCTTTAAAGAATACCCATCCCCCCAAAGAATTGAACACTTCACAAAAGAAGATATACAAATAGTCAACAGTCACATGAAAATGGCTCAGCATCATTAGTCATAGGGAAATGCAAATTAAAACCACAATGCAGGCTTCCCTGGTGGCACAGTGGTTGAGAGTCCGCCTGCCGATGCAGGGGACGCAGGTTCGTGCCCCGGTCCGGGAAGATCCCACATGCCGCGGAGCGGCTGGGCCCGTGAGCCGTGGCTGCTGGGCCTGTGCGTCCGGAGCCTGTGCTCCGCAACGGGAGAGGCCACAACAGTGAGAGGCCCGCGTACCGCAAAAAAAAAAACAACTACAATGCACGTCAATGGAGGGATAAAGTCAACAGTTAATCTAGTTGACAGACAAATCTCAAATATAAGTTCAGGGAAAAGAGAAGCAGAAAATGATATATAACATCAAAGCATTCATGTGAATTTTTAAAACTTTTTATTTTGAAATACTTTTACACTTACAGAAAAGTTGCAAACATAGTAGGGTTCTCCTATACCCAGTTTCCCCTAATGCTAACATTTTATACAGCACAATTATCAAAACTAAAGAATGAACATTAGTATAATATTCACACTACAAACTTTACTTGAATTTTACCAGTTATTCCACTAATGTTCATTTTTGGTTCCAGGATCCAGCTTAGGATCCAGTCTTAGTCATCACGTCTCCTTAGTCTTCTCCAATCTGTGACACTTCATGTTTTTCATGACCTTGACACTTTTGAAGGGAACTACTCAGTTGCTTTGAGAATGTCTCTCAGTTTAGGTTTGTCTGATGTTTTCTCTTGATTAGACTGAGGTTATGCATTTTTAGCAAGAATATTATGGAAGGGTTCTGCTTTTCTCAGTGTATCATGTTGGGAGGTACATGATGTCGCTGTGTGTTAATACTGGTGATGTTAAGCATATCATTTTGTTGAGATAGTGTTTGCTAGGTTTCTCACTGTAAAGTTACTATTTTTTCCTTTCTTAGGAGAGATACTTTGAGACTATGCAAATACCCTGTTTCTCCTCAAACTTTCAACCACTAAGCACCCATCAGTGGATCTGGCCTGTCACAATTACTTTGTGATGTTCTAAAGGTGATTTTCTACCCATTCATGTAAATTTTTGAAGACAAAAAGAAAACAATACTACATACTATTTGTAGACAGACATATATAAAGGTATGGATGCTAGACTGAAAGAACAAACCTTATACACAGTGAATACAGACTAACGTTTTCATTTAACATTGTTAGAAATCCAGAAGGATTCAGTAAACTAAAGCAGTGGCTCTGCAAACTTTGCTACAGATTAGAATCATCTAAGAACCTTTAATACTATTGATTTCTGGCTTCTACCACCAGACATGTAACTTAATTGGTATGGGTGTGACCTGGCCATCATGATTTTTAAAAGCTCTCTCTAATAAGCTCTCTCTCTCTCATGATTTTTATTTTTATTTATTTATTTATTTTTGAAAGAAGGCGTCAGGGATTAGAAGCTGGGTGCAGAAAGGCTTCATTTAAAGAAAAAGAGAAAAAGGAAGACAATAATCTTTGGTTTATTATTAAAGAAAGAATTCTTGTGTGTGTGTGTGTGTGTGTGTGTGGTACACGGGCCTCTCACCGTTGTGGCCTCTCCCGCTGCGGAGCACAGGCTCCGGGCGCGCAGGCTCAGCGGCCATGGCTCACGGGCCCAGCCGCTCCGCGGCACGTGGGATCTTCCCGGACCGGGGCACGAACTTGTGTCCCCTGCATGGGCAGGCGGACTCTCAACCACTGCGCCACCAGGGAAGCCCTCTCTCATGATTTTTAAAAGCAGAGATTGAAAACCACTGACTTAAAGTAAATAAGATATTTGTGGAAACACAGTAATTCATGATTTAAATATGAGAGAACACAGGTTATACAGTTGAGTAAGCACTCAACTGTATTCTTTTTTTTTTTTTTTTTTTGCGGTACGCGGGCCTCTCACCGCTGTGGCCTCTCCCGTTGCGGAGCACAGGCTCCAGACGCGCAGGCCCAGCGGCCATGGCTCACGGACCCAGCCGCTCCGCGGCATGTGGGATCTTCCCGGACCGGGGCACGAACCCGTGTCCCCTGCATCGGCAGGTGGACTCTCAACCACTGAGCCACCAGGGAAGTCCAACTGTATTCTTTTTTTAAAAAAGTATCAAAAATTAACATTCACCTTGAAAAAAGTGTCATGCAACTACAAAGCTGGAAGATTAGGGAAAAGAAAATGATGAATTCAAAAAATCAGAGTATTCAAAGCATTAATTCCTTACAAATTCCACTCACCTAAAACAGGCAGAACGTAATACTTTAAACATTTATAAGTTAAAACCATAACATGCCAGAAATCACTTTACCTTGAAGTGGCTTTTGTACAGTCCTGGAACAGATAACGCCAAATTAAAAATAGTAAATGCATTGTCACACACACACACCCAGGTAAGTACTATATTAGATACAAACACCAGAAGTGGAGTATGAACAGGGAGCAGTGATTTAAGTAGAGCAAACATTTCCTAAATATACAACACCAAAACGGATATTCAGATTTTAACTGTTTTAGTTTTCAGTTTATGTATTTTGCTGGAGAAAGCAAGAGTTTTTTGCTTGCTTTCTCCAAGCAAAAATACATACATATATGATATACGTAGCACTTCAAATGATCAAAA